CTCTCTCTCTCTCTCTCTCTCTCTCTCTCTCTCTCTCTTCCTTTCTCTCTCCCCAAAATCAATTTTAAAAAAATGTGTGCCCAAAGTTGCATGGCTAGGAAGTAGTAAATCCGGGTTAAACACTCAATAATACTAATTGACTTCAGGGGACAAGAACAATATGAAAGAAATAGTAAAGATAATCCAGTCTCAATCAGAAGTAAGCTTTTAGCCACAGAAGTCCTCTTTGATTACTTGGTGAAAAAAAAATGGAGGGTAATAGGTAAAACAAACACATATCCTGAATGTTTCATTGCGTAAAGCTTTGAATACTGCATTGGTCAAGATGGGCTAATTGTGATAACAAGTGATCCCAAAAATCTCAACAGAATAAAGGTTTGTTTACTGGATTATTTAAAAATAGAGGCCTGGTGCACGAAATTTGTGCACGGGGTGGTGGTGTCTCTCAGCTCAGCCTGTACCCTCTTCAATCTGGGACCCCTTGAGGGATGTCCAACCACCCGTTTAGGCCCAATCCTAAACGGACAGTCGGACATCCCTCTCACAATCCAGGACTGCTGGCTCCCAACTGCTCACCTGCCTGCCTGCCTGATTGCCCCTAACTACTTCTGCCTGCCAGCCTGATCACCCCCTAACCACTCCCCTGCCAGCCTGATCGATGCCTAACTGCTCCCCTGCAGGCCCAGTTGCCCCTAACTGCCTTCCCCTGTTGGCCTGGTTGCCCCTAAATGTTCTCCCCTCAGGCCTGGTCACCCCCAACTGTCCTCCCCTTCTGGCCCAGTCACCCCCAACTGCCCTCCCCTGCAGACCTGGTTTCCCCCAACTGCCCTCCCCTGCCGGCCATCTTGTGGCAGCCATCTTTGACCACATGGGGGCAGCCATCTTGTGTGTTGGAATAATGGTCAATTTTCATATTACTCTTTTATTAGATAAAACTAGAGGCCCATTGCACGAAGAGATTCATGCAATAGGCCTTCCCTTCCCCTGGCTGCCGGCACCAGTTTTCCTCAGGCACCCGGGACCTAGGCCTTCGCTGCTCCGGCCAGAGCCTTCAGTCTTCGCTCTGCCGCCTCGCCCTTATGTATGCAAGTTAATCGCCATCTTTGTTGGGTTAATTTGCATACTCTCCTGATTGGCTGGTGAGCGTAGTGGAGGGATGGTCAATTTACATGTTTATCTATTCTTAGGTAAGATAATAAAGGCTTATTTCATGTTCATGTCACATTTTAATGCATGTCAAGGTTATCAATCCAAGCCAGAATTCAGTGCCATGGCTCCATTTAACTTTAAGTGAGTAGATTATATGTACCTAGAAGGCAAAGGAAACAGGGTTTGGTAAACCCCACCAGTCTCTAACATCATCTGCTGTACTAGTCACCAAATACCTTTTCAATCTTCCTTCCATACTTATCCTGTAACCAACCACATCCAGTTGAAGCTCAAAATCACTAATGATCTTTCATCAGGTTTCCTCCTTGTGGTCCAGTGACCTATGAACTAAAAAGTAAAGTTACCACCCAACCACTTACATATATCCAGTATACAATGGTGACACAATGGCAGAGTAACAGCTAATTAAAACCCCTATTCAGAAAGGGGGAAACAAAAACACACAGCCATCATGGTCCATAGCAATTCTGAAATCATGGCGCGAGAACATTATAAAGGCCTCAGATCAACCTCCTTTATTAGACCCTGATTCTGCTTTCTAGTAAGAGTTCGTTTTTAGTCATTCTCTGTCACCTCTGACTCTTCCCTCTTGAATGAGATCTCTTTTTGATTATCCACCATGACCAAATCTAAAGTGGGTTTGGGGGAGCATGCATTCTTTGAGGGTTGCCCATCTCCTTCTACCAGACTCCTGCTGGTGTAAGTATGCTGGCCTGAAATTTGTTTTAGGTCTCAATGGTCAAAAGCTTTTTGAATCCAGGTTCATGTTTTCTTAGCAATTCACCTCCCTTAAAAACTTGGTAGAGTTTTGTTCCATTTGCTTCAACTAAGTTCCATGTTTCAGTGCACACACAAAGTTCTTTCTAAAAAGTGTTTTCCAGCCTAGCTTGATTCCTTGCTTTCTCTTCCTTGGTGCCTTCTCTCTTAATGGCAACCATGAAATTATCTGAAACAATAGATAAGAAGGCCACTTTCTTATTCTTATTTGTTTCCACTTGGCTAAGTTACTTTAACTGAAAAATTTTAGTGGGTCTTGCTGCTCAAAGCCTTTTTGCAGTTTTATCTCTAATCAGGTAGGTCTAGAAACAGTCAGCTTTTCCAATTTTATCTCTTATCATTTAGGTCGAGAAATAGTCAGCACTTGCAATTTTTTTACTGCTACAGAATTTTTACTTTCTCTCTCTTTCTTTTCATTTCTACTTTCAAACTGCTTTAAAATATTACAAATATGGTTACATCAATTTGAGAGGAGAGCAAAATGTGTGAAGCACACAAACAATAATGCAACATGAACTTCATGAAGAAGCTGAACCTCCTCATTGGAAATGGTAAGGAAACTGAGAAAAAAATGCTAGCTATGGCATTCAGAATTCAGAATGTTTATCATAAATTCCTACTACCACTGGAGGAATTAATGGGAGTTATTGCCCATGCAAAGTGGTTAAGAGGCTACCTGAGGAGAAAATGTTGGCTATTTTATGTCACTGATCATTCCCAGCCCACTCACTGGAGAACAGAGATCATAAGGCCACTATGACAGAGCTATGAAAAACATAATATAATCAAGTGGGTTCCCCATCACCCCCAGCTTCACACGTAACTCATGGAGTCATTCAGGAGCACACAGCATGAAGTTCTAGAAAATGCATAATAATGTGGCTGATTTTTACAACTCTGAGGGTTCTCCTCCTATAGCTGAGCCAGTATTCAAAAAAGATCTCTACGTATGTAAGTTAAAAGGTGGGAAAGAGTGTAGGCTGGGACACCATGGAGGCATCTCTGTATCGATACCATTGAAAGATGTTCTAAAGGGTACCATTGTTGGCAGTGGAAAGGAGACAAACAGGATATATTTTAGAGGCAGAGCCAGTGGGACTTAGATATGGGGAGATAGAACAAAAAGGACTCAAGGAAAATGCCTTATTTTTTTTAAACTTTATCTATAGCTATGCTCAGCAAGACCCAAGCAGCAGAAAGGTTGTCTTAATACTATGGAAAAAAATACCATTAGACAGTCAACAATCAGTAAATCACAAAACCCTGATGAGTAAGTTGGAAGGGTGAGGGAGGAAGCAGATAAACAAACTCATTCATAATGACAGGAAACAGCCCAAACCTAAGCGCCCAGAGACAAGGGTAGAAAAGTCTGAACAGACAGCATTGGTTTATATTATTCTGTATCCTGCTGAAGTCACCAGTGGATCTTAAACCGAGCAATGAAGCTTCAGGAATGGGAATCAAAGCCTAAAGAATCAGCAGCATTTTCAGAGCACAAATAGATTGGTCTCCACAGACCAATGTGCTAGACATAGCGCATCAACCTAAAGTGATTTCCTAGAAGGAAAGTGAAAGACTCCCTCAGCTGTAGACAAAGATGAAAATCCAGGAAACCAATTATATTTGAGATGGGCCCAAATATGTTTGAAATGGGAATATTACATAGAATCATATTTTTCAAAATGGGAATGAACAGTGTGTACTCATCTTAGCCAAGGAATGAAACACTGGTGACATTAGTAGCCTATGTCAGCAAACCAAAAGATTTTGACAAGAACAACCATCTCACTGATGTTGTCCTGGGAGATGGCTACGATAGAGAACTGCAAAGCATAATGAAGAGTTGGGCTAGGGAGCATGGAACTTGTCTGGCTTCAAATCCCAGGACTGACACTTGCCAGCCATGTGACCGTGGGATGATGATGTCATCTCTTTGTATCTGAATTTCTCTGTGAATTTGAAAGGACAATGGTAGCCACTGCATAGGGTCTCTGAACAAATTTAATGAGAACAAATTTCACGTATGTAAAGTGCTTAGGACGGTGCTTGGCACAGAATGATATTCAATTAGTGGTAGCAACTAGCTCCCCTCTCTAAAGGGAAAGAACTAGAAGCTGAGAGATGACTAAGGAACTTACCTAACATCACACAGCTGAAATGTGGCACAGCAGGGTTTTAATTCACAACTGTCCTCCAGACCCCAGGTGCTGAATCCCTATCATATACCAATCCACTCCCACACTGAATCTGGACTGGCACTGTGACTCAATTTAACCAAAGGAAGGCAGCAGAAGTGTGCCAGTTCCAGGAGGGCCTGGCAACCTGTGTTTGTGCTATTGGGAGCCCTGAGCACCCATGAATTAAGTCAGATCCATGGAGACAAATGGAGAGTCCAGAAACCATGCAGAGAGAAAAAAGGCTCAGACATTTGTGCCAGCTGAGCCCAGCTTTCCAGCCATGCCCTCCAGGCACCAGACACATTAGTGTATCTGTCTTGAGCATTCCAGCCCAGCCACCCTCTGACCACAGCCCCATGGGAGATCCCAAGCAAGAGCAATAAAAGAACTGTCTAGCTTAGCTACAGTGCTGAGGACTGTTAAATTAAACAAAGAGGCCGTTAGACTGAGGTGGCTTTGATGCCTTAGTAGCCTATGTCAGCAAACCAAAGCCTAAGCCTGTAGCTGCCTCACGGTTAAGAAATCAAAACCTGGGACGCTGGGGCTCAGGTGAACACGCGGGCCCTGCAGGCAGTTCCCTTCCCTGGGGCGGCTGCCTGGCCGCCCGTGGTCTTGGCGACGGCTCCTGACTTTGACCTCTGAGTTACTGGACAGACGTCATGTGGCCTGTGTTTTGGACCGTGGTGCGTACTTATGCTCCCTATGTCACATTTCCTGTGGCCTTCGTGGTCGGGGCTTTGGGCTACCACCTGGAATGGTTCATCCGGGGGAAAGATCCCCAGCCCGTGGAGGAGGAGAAGAGCATCTCAGAGCGTCGGGAGGACCGAAAGTTGGATGAGCTGCTAGGCAAGGACCACACCCAGGTGTTGAGCCTTAAGGACAAGCTGGAATTTGCCCCTAAAGCTGTCCTGAACAGAAACCGCCCGGAGAAGAATTAGTAGAGGACACAGGGCCATATGGGTCCTTCCATAGGCTGTGACTGGTCCTGCCACCATGTTGACCCAGCTCCAGAATCCACATCTGATTTGCGTTGTTGCTTATTCTGGCCCCTCGGGCACCACCCAGCCACACACATACTGGGTGCTCTTCTACAGCCAGGCACACGGACACACTAGAAGCTGAGGGGCCAGTGAAGAGGGTGCTCTTCTACAGTCAGGCACACGGACACACTAGAAGCTGGGGGGCCAGTGAAGAGGAAGGCCCTGGAGGGATCTGGCCTGCAGGCTGCATCTGTCGTATGGTGGGCACAACTGCCCAGGCTTCTGGGTGCACTTCTGGGAGTAGTGTTATGAAATGAACCTGGGCTGTCAGTCCCTGCAGGGAGGCAGTTTGGCCTCAAGCTGAAGTGCATGGGATTGGGGTGTTGCCTTAAGAGAGATACCTCATGTCTACCTCTCGTTTGCATGGGAAGATTTCAGAAATCTACCTGGTTCCTTCCCTCGTTTGCCCAGTCCTTTGTGCTCACTCTTGCTGAAATCCTGTCCTACCAGCTCAGGAAAGGGGGGGACTCGCTGGGGAAGGGCTGTTCTTGGCAGCCCAGGCTGTTCACCTTGGGGTAGGTGAATCTGCTTGAAAATAATCACCATCTTGCATCCCCCCATCACTGTATAGTGCAAAACTTGATTAAAGTGGCATCTGAGAACCATACTGATCTAATTCTATCTTCCAAATGGTGTGTGGGGTCTCCTCAGGAGTTATTCAAGGGCAGGCATTTCAGGATTTTAGGTTAGGATAACATTGGCCTTAACTAAGGACTCCAGGGTCCTGGAGGCTTTGTTTTACTAGTGTGGTTGCCCTGGGTCCTGGAGGTGGTGAGTCCTGGAGGCCCAGGTTCCCAGAGGCTTTTCTATCATGGTAATAAGAGGCTTATTGGACCTTTCAGGATCTAAATTAGAATACACCAGGGTGCTTAACAGTTGCTATCAAATTTTCCAATTCCACACACACACTTTTCCCTATAAAAATAATCGATGTACTTAAAAGAACATTTGGTAGGGATTTTTAAAAAGGGCTCTAGTACAGCTCCCCGGGGCTCTAATACAACTGAAAAGCTAACATTTTGTTATGTTTTTAATAATTTCCCTATTGCTGGAGGACATTTAGGTTGTTTCTGGTTGTTCACCAGTATAAATAGTGCAATGAATATATAAGGCTTTTCCTGAATTTTAGGTTAAATGGTAGGAATAGTAAATGGCATTTTGGATGAAATGGGATGAGCAGTTTTAAGGGTCTCAACACATAATATAAAATGTCTTTCCTAAAGAGTTGTAGAAGATTATACTAGAAGCTACCACTTAAGATGCCTCGGGGCCCTGGCTGGTGTGGCTCAGTGGGTTGGAGCATCGTTCTATACACGGAAAGGTCATAGTTTCGATTCCCAGTTAAGGCATATATCCAGGTTTTGGGTTTGATCCACACAAAGGAGGCGGCCGATTGATGTCTCTCTCACGCTGATGTTTTTTCTCTCCCTTTCTCTCTAAAATCATTAAAAACACCCTCGGGTGAGTGTTAAATAAAAAAGGTGCTGCTGTTGCGGTTGGAAGCGGGTGAGAGCTGAGGGCAGGAAGAGGCACAATAACCTTTTGCCTCATGTGGTCAACTGACGTATAACCTACGTGAGCAAAGGCAGGTGATGCCCGTTTGACGAAGAACAAACTGCCTTTAAAAAGGGGAAGGATCTGAGGCCTGATGGTGTTACCAGGTGAAGGAAGAATTCCTAAACAGGTGGGAATACCAGCTGTGGAATGAGAGGAGCTGGGAGGAGGTGGAAGGTGGTGGCCAGAGAGGAGAGAACAAGTCCAGTTGCCCAGGCCTAGTGGGAATGTTGACATGAGCTGCTGTTAACTTCTCAGGGAACAAATCTGATCGGGAATATGGAGGAGTGTCTGCTACCCAAGTAAGGATGGGATTTCTGGTTACCAAAGGATATGCCAAGCTCAGATTGTGTTTGCCTTGTTTTGGTACAGACTCTCTCCTTGTGTCATTGGTGATACTGTATATGGATTTCTGGATGGCATGAACCTTTTGGCACTTATTAGTCTTGGGATTCTGCTGCCCAGAGTTGTGAAAACCAAGGATACAATCCACTCTCTGAATGCTCCTTAAAGAACTTATTTCTGTCTGCACTTGGGATTCTGCTGCCCAGAGTTGGGAAAACCAAGGATACAACCCACTCTCTGAATGCTCCTTAAAGAACTTATTTCTGTCTGAAAGTGCTATTAGTTTCTCAAGGAGGCTGATAATTATGGAAGGCAGCCATAGTGAAGATAAAGAAACCTTGGGCTGGAATTCAAGAGACTTATTCACTCAACAAACACTTACCAAGGCCCTGGTGCAGGTAAGGCAAAGTAGGTGCACGATAGAATTACTAAGACCAAAGAGACCAGGATCCCTACTTCAAGTTCTACCCACAGAGCCCAGCACAGGCCTGAGCGTGCAGCCGCTTTTCAACAAATGTTTGTTAAACCAAGTCAATTCTACTAACTCAAAAGTCAATTCCCTCTTCAGCGTTTAGATGCCAGTTTAGTCAAACAAAAAACAGTGGGTTACAGCAGCACTTCTCAAACTTTAATGTGCATAACTGTTCCCTGGAGCTCTTGTCAAAGCGCAGATGCTGGAAGCTTGGAAGGACCTAGCAGTTGCATTTCTAACAAGCTTCCAGCATCACTGGTGCCCGGACCACATTTTGAGTAGCTAGGAGTCTGCTGATCTCTCTGGGAGAGATTCTGGATACAACCAAGAGGTCCTCCGACTCTACATTTTTTAAGTGTAGAAAACACTAGAGTCTAACTGTGGAAAAAGAGAAAGAGAAGTGACGGGGCCTGGGCATGGTGCCTGGGGCGGATCCAAGAGATTAGCAGAGGTTTCTGGAGGCCAGCAGGAAAAGCCCACTCCTGTCACAACGCACAAACAAAGCTTTTGGTGACTGTAAAAAGAATCAGGGATAATTTTGCTGGCTCAGAAGGCTCTGTGTCTTAATGATTCTTCCTGTTTTTCTCAGCCTGACCCAAGAGAATGAGAAAACAGCCCTGGTGAAGGTCAGCCGAGGTCAGAGAGGTCCCTGGAGAGGACTGCTTTCAGCTGCACTTAGTGGGGGAAATGGGGGAGACAAACAGAGCCCCCACACACACACACCAAGCCTACCTAGTTCTAGCCCTACTCCTTGACTCATCCAGCCCCATACCAGGGTATCAGGGTGACAGGGGTCCCAGGATGGGGAGCTCTGCACCAAGTCAACGCATTCAATTCCACGTTCATTACAACCGCTGAGCATGCCAATGTGCTCCACACCCCACAGGATGGCAGGACAAAACAGGGTCAAGGCCCACCAGAAGCTCACAGTCTAATAAGGGAGGAATGGCGTAGTCACAGGAAGACAGATTACAGTGCAGAATGCAATCAGAGCACACAAAAGAGACCTGCAAGCAATACAGAAATTTACAGAAGCGAGAAATCAAATTCCCTTAAAGGCATCAAGCAATGTACCTGGAGCAGGGCACATCTGAAACTCAAAGATGGGTACGAGGCCCTCAAGTGAAGATGGAGATGAGGTGTTCCAGGTAGGGGGAGGTAGGAGAGAAGGCTCAGAGGAAGGAAGGTGTGTGTTCAGCGTGGAGTTTGGTGTGGCTGGAACAAGGACATATGTGGGAGAATAGACTATTGTGGAGGAGCTGGGACATCGAGGGAGCATCTTTAGGGCCTTAGGTCTCTTTCCCATCATAAGGTCTGACAGAAGCCCCACATATACACACACTTACCTGGCCCAGGTTTAAGACCACACCTGCACAAATGGTACCCAGATTAAGCATGGCAATTCCTTTGCTCAACAATTTTTATTGAACCCCTAACATGTGTGAAGCACCGTTCGAGGAGTTGGAAATACAGTGGAGGCCAGACATGTTTCCAAGAGCCAGACAAACAATGAGTAACACAGGAACTGAAATCAGAGAAGTCTTTGGTGTGAATCCAAGCTGTGTGCTGTGAATGAAAGATTTCACCTCTCTGGGCTCGGTCTCTGCCTCCCTGTTGGGCATAATTATACCCATTGCACAGGATGGTTGTAGAACTTAACCTCTAGGGGGAGACCTCAGACTGTGCCAGGCACACCACAGGCACTCACTGCCCATCTGTTCTGTATTCAGTCACAAAGAAAGGAGACTGGAATAATCTTCAAGGTCCCTTTCAGCTCTAACATTCTGCATCAGCCGTCCTAAGACTCCGTGGCACCTGTAACTGTGCCCACTGACTGGGGGGGCTGGCACATCCCAGAGAGGGAGCCTCTATCCCTCCCTGAGAGAGAAGCCAGGGTGGCCAGAGAGAGGCTGGGGGATCAGGTGGTCATTCATCAGGCTGCCGCCCTCACTGGCTCTGGCGCCGGCAGGCCAGGCAGCGCTCTGGCTGCTTAGCTGGCCGGATCGATTGGCTTCCTCACCACTCCACAGACCCGTTGCCATGGCAGTGAACCTCAAGGGACCTCTAGGAAAGGCCAGTACTGAAGAGGAAGGTTCTGTTCTTCTGAACCCATCTGACTTAATCTTGGTTGATTTCAGGGTCCTGGAAGGAGACATAACAACAACTGCAATTTACTGAGTGCTTTTTCAAAGCCAGACAACATGTTAAGTGCTTTTCATCAGTTATCTCATTTCATATTCACAATGACACTGTGAAATAGGTGTCTTCGCCCCCACTCAGAAAAATAGGAAACTGAGGTTCAGAGAAGTGAGTACCAATATAACTGAAGTCGGGACATGGTTGTGCCCCACCCTCCCACCCCCAAAATTGTATGTTTATGTGCTTGTCCAGATGCCAGTCTTCCCAGCCACCTGAGCCCCCAGGGTGAACATTCCTGAGGGCTCAAGAAGACAGCTGTGGAGAACTGACACTCAGAGTCCCTCTGAGACCTTCAGGACAAAGCCAGGTCACACTGACAATGAACTACTCAGCCAGCTGCCCCAAAATATGTTCTGGAATTTCCTAATGCAATCCCAATCTCAAATATTCAGCCTGCTTTGAGAGAGAGAGAGAGAGAGAGAGAGAGAGAGAGAGAGAGAGAGAGAAAGAAATTTTGGCATCCATGCTAACACATCTCCCAATGATCTCTTACATTGGGAAGCAGCAGGCTTTGACAACATCTGTCAGACCCTGGCACAACATTC